AATTACTTAAACGCGACTTGTTTAATCAGTTGACATCAATGCAACTTACCCGCAGACAGTGCACAACAGAGTATCATTATTGAGCAAATATAAACATTAAGTTTAGGGTCGGGTCAGGTATGGGCAACGGAATTATTAACAGGAACGTGTCTTGGCATTAGGGTTAGGGTCGGGTCAGGTATGGGCAACGCAAATGGCAAACACCCAATTGGCAAAATGTACACTAACGGGTTATGCCATGTATATAGTTTACACAAGTAAAAATACAAAATTGCCAATTTTTTGGACAATTGTAACTCAATAATAGAAATATGTTGTATTTCTATATATATACACACTATATACTCTTATCAAATGCAAACAAAACCAGTCAATCCATCGTGGTCTCTGGGTCAGTTCTCTACATAGTGATCAGGAGGAGCCGGGTTCAATTCCCTTGCCTGCCCATCTTTTTCTCGCAAACACTATTTGGCAATAAAGCTAAATATGACAACAAATTATTCAATTTGCATGACTACCCACATAACTCAGTTGATTTGTACTATGTCAGTAATGTGAGCGATCGCTGGTTCGAATCCAGTATGTTTAGTTAGATTTTTGAATGCTAGTGAAGACAGTGCAAGAGATAGGACTTAAATCCTATCTCTTGTGTGAAGACACTCGTGGTACAGTGGACAAGACAGTGCATAATTAAAAAAAAATTGCATAAAGTGTAGGTACGTCTTCTGGAGTCCTGCCTAAATGAACATACAATACAATCATCCTTAACAGTAATGAACGACAAAAAAATGACACTTTTTAAAAATAAAGCCAGAATGAAAATCAAACATCAAAAACAGAAAATAAAACTTCAAAAAGCAATTTTTCACAAACTTACAATACTAATATTGCTTGAAATAAAACCCACATGCCATCCTCTGTTACCACTTTCAATGGTCAAACACTATTGTATAAACCTATTACGTAACTACTTTTCAAAAATTGAACCCGGACCAGCTGTTTTACAACACAGTATTGTTATCAGCACCACCAACAGCTTGCTTTTCAAACAACTTGTTCATGGTGACTATGGGATAAAACAAACCCCAAATTGCAGGCCATAATCAAAGTATGTTGAAATATAGCCTGACATGTGGGCGTGAGTAGGCCCTCGCCGGCCGAACGGCATCAGATATCACTAACTGGGTTTGGAGCACGCAGTGGGCATAACTCACGTGACCTCGTCAGGCTAGTTCAAATATTGTCACAGAAAATCACTTTGAAGCCTGTTTCACATTTAACATGTCTAAGACCTGTCCAAATTTCCATAAAAATGCGCTGTGTATGTGCGACAATTGTGTTGATAAACATTGATTTTCCCACAATTCAATGCGCTCTTTCTAATGGAATTTCAAGTATGAGGTTTGACCTAGGCTCGACTAATGACTAATTGCACTAATTACCGCCGGTGACTCCTTCGATATTTTCCAATCACGTGAAAACATACCTAATTGAAGCTTGGTGACGTCTCAGTTTGTACTCGTTGATCTGCGCAACAGTCAAAGTCGCCATCTTTGTTTATATGCGACTCTAATATCTCGCGCATGCGTGGCGCGAGACTGTCGCCTTTTAAATTTTACCCCGAACTTCGTGTAGCGTGAACACTACTAATGACAATGTACAATGGTGTTTTTTTGAGTAAATAGTATTATTTATGATGAACATTGATAAGCAGAGCATTCCATTGTTTATATAGGTAGTTAGACTGTCATCCGGTTAGTTCTAGTGGAGAAAGCGTGCCACACTTCGCGTCTTGTTCATTGGCCCCATGCGACGTTGTACATAACGCCAGTAAAATGCTTTATTTGATCACACAGAATTCTAACAAAATATGTTCAAGCAAAATATAGAAACTCTCTCTGCCTACCCCACATTCGCAATACTCAGGATGACTGATTTTCAAAACCAATCTTAATATTCAGCCAATCAAATTGAATGTGTAACATGTTTATCGATGATGATTAGGTGTTTTGAACACATTTTTCAATGTGTTGTAAATGCTGTGTCACCAGTACTGTGAAACCACGTGACTATATACAGTACCCATATTACTGAATATGGATTAAATGATAAGTCTAGAAAGTTCATTGTTATGTCAGAGTGAGTGACATAATTTGGCCCATAACAACTGAGAACATTTACATCTTTGTATTTTTTTAATTCAACTTTGCCGTCTTACAGGTCTGATAGCTGCTCGAATACTTAAGCAATACGGGTTGAAGGTCACAGTGTTAGAAGCAAGAGATCGTGTTGGCGGAAGAACGCTTACTCTGAGGGTAAGTTAGGCTTTATTAAAATATTTCAATCTCAACAAAATGTATAAAAGTAGCCAATTTTTGAGTTCCTCATCTCCAAATAAGGTATAATGCAAACTGCCACAGTGTGTCATCTACGAGTATGGATACGTATTTTATCAATGCACGGTAATTCTGAAATTATTAGTCGCGAAGTGTATATAAATATCAATCTAAGTAAGTGTCTGGCCCGTTTTATCCTATAACGACCCCTGTAGGCAATACTGAAACAATTGTATAAATGTGTTACTATATATTTGTCTTTAGTGTAATACCTATATCCAATTATTCATCTCCTATAGTACACTCGGTATAAAACACGCCATTATTCATATTTATCATTATTCCAGAAATCCAATAAATACATTTAGTCAAACCGAACTGTGCGATGCTAAATAATTTTGATCGGTAAGTAAATCTCCTTGGTGTAATATATTTTTTTTTCAAGGATGAATCTATTGGTTATGTGGATCTTGGTGCAATGTTTGTCGGTGCCACGCAATACAGATTGGCACAATTATTGAAAGAACTGGGAATTGAAACGTATCGCGTTACAGAAGAAGAAAGTGTTATCATTCAGACTGTGGTTGGTATCGTAACATACCTTACTCATTCACTAGCAAACTAAAGTTAAATTCAATTAAATATTATTATTATTATTATTATAAATCTAATTATAAATTCAATTAGATATTATAAATTATGGAAAATTGCGAGGGTCGTCACTTGGTCTAGTTATCGTCACTTGGTGCGTGTGTTACTGAATAAAAGTCGTCACAACATTGATTACACAGACACACACATACTGTCATACATCAACAGAACATCCTTTTATTGTTTCCATCAAAATGATATCAAATGTCGTGTTCGATATGGGTCCCACGCAACGTAAACAACACGTGTGATATATATTTATTGTTTACGCGAGATTCGAACGCGCTGCGTAGTGACGGTGGTACATTAACAACGCTATTTTGAATACAGCACTCACACATGCAATCAAATGTTGTAGTTAATTATTTGCTTTTCAGGGGAAACGGACAATAAGTAACGACGATATGCCTAATTGGTCCAATCCAATAGCACGCATGGATTCAAACAATCTGTTCCGGACAATTGATAAACTTGCCATGCAGGTAAATATTTATAACCGTTATGCGTTTCAGATGGCAACATTTTTTTGCGTGCACTCACTTATACGGGACTGGGTGGTATTTGTAATTAACATCGAGCCCTTCCCAACTTTTCACGTGTATCGTAGTATCAGTGGTCGATGTCTTTGAGGTCGAACGTGAGGAAAGTCATGGTAGTTTGATATGTTATGTTATACATACATAGAGTACTTACTGTCATATTTTATCAATTCAGGTACCACCCGAAGCACCATGGGATTGCCCCAACGCTGAAGAATGGGACAGTATGACGTGCACGACATGGTTTGATGAAATGTGTTGGACTAAGTAGGTTGCCTTCATTCTCATAATACTGTGATAATCTTTCATAGGTTAGTTACTATACGTGATGCATAGACATTGTTATATAGGAATGCACATGTGAATACATCCGATACAAACTTGATATAGATCATCATTATTTAGGGAAGAAAAAAACCCCGACGTACTGCCCATTTATTGCGTGTTATAAATCACCACTGTATTTGAAGAATCAGAATTAGAAGTTCCTATGACGTCATAGCTTTATTCGTTTCCCTGTCATCAAAGATGACAAGCGGACCTGTATGTCCGTCATCGTTGTTGTTGTTGTCGTCCAGCGCCCCGCATCCACTTTTTCAAATGATTTCTTCATGACAACAGGTAACTTTATTGCTTCTATACTTGGTACATAATTGTGTTCATTGGGTTGACCCCTGTGATATTTTATCATTTTGTGACGATATATTCATTTTTTTTATTTGTAATGATTATTTTGTTAATCTTCGTTCTAAATGTTATTTTCGCCTTCTTCTTGAAAAACTTTTACTCCGATTGGTTTAATATTTGTTATATACCTATGTACCTTGGATAGACATCTAGAATTATTTGTAATGATTATTTTCATTAAAAACAATGTCATTTTCGACTTCTTCTTGAAAACTCATACCCCAATTGGTTTTATACATGGTGTAGTTTGTTTCCCCACTATGATGGATATGTAACTGTGTATAACCTTATTATTGTCAGACTAGTATTATTAATAGTCTGAGCCTTATTATTGCAAGATTCTGCGCTGCTGAAACATCGGAGTAATTTTGACTGTCTGTTCGCTTGTATTATAACGCGTATTGAAACTGCTATTCAGAAGTAAATTAATTTTAACAAATGCCCCTAAATTAAATACCGTACATTTGTTGAAATCGCTCATTTGCTTCTCATTCAATATTGCGTTGCGTGGGACTCATTATTGTTTAAATACCAGATCAAGGAGGGGATTTACGACGTAGTTGAGCTTATTATTTAAGTAAATCCCATAGCTGAGCCCTATTATCGCACAATAATAGACAGTCTGGGGTCCTTTATTTTAATTAATTATTATTATCCTGGGCTATCGAAAAATTGATCAAACTTGCAGTGGTGGATTCGGATTGAAGAAATCGACACTGTGCTGAGTGTGCCGTACTTAGACACTTGTTTAGAACGTTCACACGCTCATAGGTAATTACCTATATTAACGAAAATAAGCAGTATTTACGTGAAAAAATTGTGGAGGATTTGTTGTTTAAACGATCCGTATAAATGTGATAAAACAAAGAACATATGTGAGTCACACACATTCATGTTTGTATTTTCGTGTTTTGACCTCCCTAACATATCGTCTGATAACACAGGGCAGCACGTGGTATCGATCGACCAATGAGAACCCGGTGTTTCAATAATGGTGCTCGGCATTATAATACTGATTATTTTTTTCCTGTGTTGCATTCTAGGGTAACAAGAGCGTACGCAGATATTTTTGTGAGAATCAATTTTGCCGTCGAGTCACGTGATTTATCATTTCTGTATTTCCTCTGGTATATTCGTTGCGCTGGAGGTAATAATTATGTTTTATGCTGTTTATCACTCAGACATATTTAACGAATGCGTCACTTGTGTTTTCATGAATTGAAAATTAACTCTCTTTTGTTTCGCTGCAGGAGTTTTGCAAGTACATCTTGTGGAAGGAGGCGCACAGGTATTGAAGACTCATATGATGTGATGAATGTTTTATTCATGACTGCGTTAGTTGATTTTAAGACACCAAAATCTGCTTGATTCAAATAAATTATAACCACATATTGCAAAATATGTTTACATTTGAAAACTTTTCAGTATTGTGTTCAGTAATTTAAAGAGCTGGTACATTTGTTTGAATCATTATTCCATTCCGCGAATTATAGTTTATGAACATGAAACCTACTAATGTAAATGCTTACATACATCCGTATTTGATTTTTTATTATTTATTCCTTTTTCTCATTGATAACTATATATTTCTTCTGCTTTCAGGAACAGAAAATAGTTGGCGGAGCACAGCAGATAAGCGAGAAATTAGCGAAAATCATTGGAATTGGTAAGACAAATTTATATGAATCATGATAATAGAAATGAATTATTACCATTTAATACGTGATGGTATATATAACCTTATGCTACACCCTGCACAACATAAACTGATCTTGATGCGTGTCTCGACTTTTGTCTCGCCATTAAACCACCGTGTCCTAATCCTTGAGTAAGTAGTCTGGGTTTCTTTCCCATTCCGTCACTTGCGGCGCACTACGCTTCGATTTCTTAAACGCCCCCAGCGTTAAAAACTAGGCAGGGTACCAGACCGCAGTTTATTGCCATTGATCACATAGAGTCGCTGTAACATAAAGATAGGACTTGTCTTAAACATCTGTGTATAATAAATGTTCGAATTAGAAAACGCCTTTCACTATTGTCGCGGGGGTCATATTATTTGTTTCTATGTCAAAAATATGCCGAATCTTGATGTCGAACTACCGATGGCTCGGCAGCATCATATATATTCCGAAATACCTGCCTAGCGTGGATAATATATAACACAAATGTGAAAATATCAACTGATTCCCAGCGAATCCACTCTGACGTCACACTAACACCAATTCCCAAATGTGAGATGAAAGAAGACGCGTTATTGATTGTGCAATATAAAACACTTGATCTACTTTGACATAATATTTGGCACTGTTGACGCCATGGCGGAAAAACAAACAAACAAATACAATTGTCATGGTTCCCGCACTCTCAACGACATCTCAACGGTCATTTGGGAATAAGATCGTCTACTTTTTTATTGGCCAATTATATGAACCAGTCAATGTTTAAGATATTATAAGTGATATTCTACCCATTTTGTACTCCTGGCTATTGTGGACAAACTAGTGATGTAAACTATTGACTTTGTCTCATTGTTGCCTTTAACTACCTGTCTATACCTATTACTTCTCCCACAGAAAATGTAGTGCTGTCAAGAGCTGTAGTAAAACTAGAACAAGGCAATAACGAAGTAATTGTTACAACGTCAGATTGGGGCGTTTACAAGGTATGGCATACAACGTATCAATAATCTGTGTTTCATATATACAAAAATGTACTTGTTTATTACAATTTTGTGGGCATTTGATGAATGATGAATCAATGTAAATGACATGCACTATGGCCATTATCTTCTCCACATCTACTATAATTGACTGTCAACGACTGTTTCAGGGCTCCTACGTAGTATGTGCTTTACCGCAGAATCTATTGAATCGCGTGGAATTTGCTCCGCCTCTTCCGTCTGTACGAATACAGGTGCGTAACTTGTTTGATGTATAAACCCTGTGTCAGTTGTCGACGCAACCGTTCCGCGGTACATGGCAGTGTTTCTTAAGAATCAACCTATTAATATAGAGTCGTTTTGTCGCCAGCTTTGCCAGAAGCCACCAATAAGAACGTGTATAACGGCGGTGAATCAATCTCGATCCTTAAACATTAAATTCTCACAGAAAAAGTGACTATATGCGAGATAACATATGAATAAGTGAGAAAGCGAATGTGCGGGCACCGGTGTTGTCAATTTCTCTTTTAATTTGTCCAGTATCGTTCATAACAATACGTCTGGAACGTATGTGCACTCTGTGCGCTCGGGAAACCATGCAAAGCTTTTGAAGAATGTGTAATAATAACGGACACTGGACATTCCGCCCTCCTAATTGTACTAAAATGAATGAATTACTGTTAATGAACGCTTCATTTATTGAACATTTACTCCAAACTCGATATAAACCAACAAATTGATGTAAAAATTCAAACTCGAACGTCGCGCCAACTAAGCGTGTGCATCGCTGCTGAATTATTTGAGGCAATTGTATCCCTTGCAGATGCTACAGCGGATTCCCATGGGTTGCTGTATAAAAACATTCATGTACTATGAAAAAAGATTCTGGATAGAAAAAGGTAAGAATGCTGATACGAAATCTCATTTTAGCGAATTTGTCAATAACCAAATATGTGCTCATTGTTTCCATCAATATTTTATCAAATGTTGTGTCCTATAATAATCTCACGAAGAAAGATATTGTAATTATATACTACCAGTAATCAAAGAACTACGTTTCGTTCAGAATCCATGATAATAATAAGATGCCCGTTAAACAAAATACTAATAATATCGGATTGTGACATTTTCCTCCAAGAAAGCTTTTTTTAACGCACATTTCTTTATTTAACGCATTGATTCAAGGATTATGTGGAAGTGTTCTCTCAGATGGCCCATTACTATCAATGGATGACACGAAACCAGATGGATCGCACCCTGCGCTCATGAGGTATACACATAACACGATTCACTGGGACTATGAGAACAATGACCATGACACATTTATAGTGAGATTCTTTTGAAAATGACCCTTTCCGTTTAATATAAACAGTACAATTTGATTTTTATGGCAATTTTCATGTAGTTCATGTTTAAGCAGACAAATGCTTTTGTTGATCCTAGCTTCTTAAACGGTGACTGGGGACGCAAACTTTGTGGCGAAACTAAAGAAAAACGGTAAGTACATTAAATACTCCCCCTGCTTTACCTGTAGTGATAATTGATGTTTACATTTCAATTTTAATACGGTAACCCGGGTAGTTTATTTCAGTGATTTTCTAAGTTTACAATTTATTAAAACCTATGATTTCTGTGGCAAAAAATCCACTGTATGTCAACACTCACACTTGCAATTTGCACATAAAAAGTCAGAAGAGACAACAGTGACATTCACTGTTTAACATATGAGTAATTTGTTTTACCATGGAAACCAATAGCAAATGAATCAATAATTTTCATGAATGTCTGATACATTTTTTGTGCAAAACGTATTTCGGTGATCATACATTTTCTGGATCTTTGTTTGCTAAACAAGAACATATTCAATAACTTTAAGGTAGAGATGCAGGTTGGAAGACTATATTTCTAATTGGCTCTGATTACTGTAATTACATGAGTAAAATATCACTTTTACCCATCAAGTTATATATCATTTGGAAGAGTTTTATTTAAACTTTTGAGTTTTATGGTTTACAATAATTTACTATGATACCATATTAAGTGGTGTGGATTTTGGGTTAAAATCATGCATTTTAGGCGAAAGTGCATTTAAAACTATTTACCTTTGAATGAATACCTTGATTTTAATTTAAGAACACTTATTTAAAACTTCTGTTAACTAGGAACATAATGGCTTATTTGTTAGTGTTTCCATTGAAAAGTTTATACACAGTGCTCTTTGAAACATTCACATTTTATAAATCGTTCACAGTTGAGAGCCGCTAATTGGCAGCTCTATTGTTTCTGTTCCAATGAAGACAGTGAAACCATACGAAGCCATTTACTTAGGATAGACCTGAATAATGACCCCTGAAAATTTCATTGAAAACAAATGAACCGTCTAGAAGTTAAATAGTTTTAAAGTTGAAATTTTGAGTAAAAATTGAAACTGAGATAATCGTCATTTTGTAAAAATAAGTTTTAAAACGAATCATTCGCTTCATATGTGTAACAGAAACTCCTAGAAATACACCATACACCGTAATTTGCCGATGTTAAATCGTAAGGTAAAAAAATAAAATAAAAAATATTTACAATTCGAGGGAAACAGACGAAAAATCGTCCGCAAAGTCTCAGCCTTGCGTGAAAACTGTCATGGCGTCGTGTTATCAATTCCACTGAGGGCGGGATACAATGAATTACGTAAAGCCGATGAGATATTCATACAGTTATATAAACATAGCGATCGCCATTGGGTGGGTTGAGTCTAAATTTACCTTCCCTCAAACCTTTAAAAAAATACTTTGTATGACGCAGTTTCCGTGGATCGTGCGAAGTTAGACGAGCAGGTTGAAATGGGCCCTAATATTTTACTACACAACGGCTATTCGCAGTTTTTACTACTCAATCACCCAAACGCCGGTGAAACAAATTCGAAATGAAGTCACATTGGAAGGGGAACTATTGTAAATCGATGCACGTTTCATTCAACTACAGACGAGACAGGTCGATGCAAATTAAACGAACTCCTGACCTCTGGAAATACCTCATTCATAGAGTTCCTTAGTACCAGAGGCCGCCGATCACGACCATACAACGTAGTTTGCGACATCGCTACCTGTGCATTCTAGCTGACAAGGGGGTTTCCGATTAAGGTAATCAAGATGGCATCGCAGAGTGCATGATTTTTCCGCGGTGTTTAAAACAGCATCTTATTGCCGATTTTTCGATAATTTCCAGGTTATTTTTTTATTTTTAATTAACCAAGCATTATATGTTTGTGTATTTTGAAAAGTTAGTTATCGATGACAGCAACAGCAGTGTTGTTTGCCAATTGCATCGCAATTCTATCAGCACGATAATCATAACAGGGAAACGAAAAATGTTTACTTCAGTGTTAAAATGCCGTTGGTGTAAACATGTGTGGAAACATTTTTTAGTTTCGCCCACAATGCGAAAAACTTGAAATATATACACCAAGAAAACAAAAGAAATTGTGGCCTTCAAGTTGTTTTGCGCGAAAATTAAATCGCCCTATCGACGCTACCTCCTACATGAAAATAAATAAAAAATCAATTTATTTAAGGGTGAAAAAGTTTATTTATCAGTTACAAGTGTATGTTTTGTTTCATTCCGCTTGCATGCTGGAAGCGTCTACGTCTTGTCTGTTTTTGTAGTTTGCTAGTTGATCGCGCTTGAGGTAAGTAAACAGAGAGCCAGGACAGGAAGTCGCACACCGCTGCTCCGTAACTGGGGCCAGCAATCATTTGCATATAACATCAACAGTGACTTGTCAATCAAAGAGCAACGCAAACAAACTTTCGGGACTTTCAATCACATACGCGTGCCTCGGTTTCCTATATTTTAAAATTGATTTTTGAGTATGTTCCAACAATGACAATGCTCCTAAATGTTAACACTATATAGCCAAGACTGTCTGGGTAAGAAAAAGCAAAAAACAAAAAAAATCACTCTGAGTGCCCACGAACTTGCATCTCTATCTTAAGTGTATAGAAAATCAGAGTAACGGTAAAATCAGTTTTTCTTTACTCGAAATTGCCGTATGTTTTATTTTCCACATGCAAAAATACAATTAGATTATATAGTCATGAAGATTTGGTTATGACCTATCACAATATGCATACCATCCACTATTTCAATTACACATGCATTGAACCAATATCGTCATGATCTCGTTTCAGGAAGGCAGTATTGTGCCAGGAATACGCCAAATCACTGAATTCAACAGAAGCATTGAATGTGAGTAGATTTGTATTGTTGTCTTATACTTTACGACCTATTGGGGCAATGTAAACAAGTATATTGCTATATTGCGATGATTAAACCTACTTGTCCTAGATTTCTGAAACAGGCAATTGTTCGCCGTTACATATATGCTCACGCCATACTTTCTGACATTCTCAATAGTATATCAGTCCCAGGACGTGCGTTGTTGCAGTGATCAACAATCGTACCAAGTAGACAGTGACATCGCTAATATTTCAGAAAAAAGTTATGTTTTTACATTTTGTTTTCCAACTAGCCTATCAACTATGTGGAGTTTGATTGGACAGGAGAGCAATACTCCGGCGGGTGCTACGTGTGCGCATACCCACCAGGCGTTCTCACGCGATATGCAAAGTAAGTAAGGCTTCGAAATTTAGTAACTATGCCCGTATAGGGAATTTGAGTCACGGTTTAATGTTCACACCGATATACATGATGAGTTCATATCCTTCTACTAATTGTTATACCTGTCACATTGATATACCAATCAAAACTTGTCATCGTAGTATGTACATTAAATGCCACTTTCCTTGTATGATTTGTGTCTTTCATGATATATCCACAACTACGACGAGTAGTAAATTCTGGGAATTACATGTCATATACATTCCAAACGGAATTTACCCCGACAATTAGTACTAAGTAGTACTAAGAAGGAGAAACAACCTTTGGCATACACACACTGTCCTTTGATTTAACAGTAATATTGAGACATTCTTGAGCATATGTAACACAAGACTGCCACATTTTTAATTTACATATGTCATGAGAACAGTATGACATCGTTCCAAAACATTTACTACTCACATTTGCGTATAGAGTGATTAAAAGTTCTACGGTTTTATATCATGTTCTACATAAATAAAGACACAACATAATTAACACAGGACTATCAACCCAATGAATACATTTTAACATCTCATGTAACCCCTGAAATGTAGACTGTTTGCTTGGCAGATTTTGAGTTAGATGGAACACAATGTATGTACGTAGAATTTTCTGGAACATGTAGTTCCAGCTATGCCCTTGACCGGTAGTCTCAACACTTTTTCTAGGTCGGACTTTGTATCTCAGAACTATATCCACTATATACAGGTACTGTCTGGCACATGCACTGGTCAGGAATCATGGGAATTTGAAAAGGCATGACTGTATTGCTGAAAACAAAAGACTAATAATAAAACATCCTCACTGCAAGATAATACTTGTTTAATCCGATGATCTAGTTCAAATTCATCTACTCAATCCAAGAGTCCAATTCGCTAATTCAGTGCTAACACACATGTCATATTTGCATATATAATTTATATATTGTTTTCAATCGCCCGTTCTTCTTATATATAGGGAACTACGCAACCCAATTGGTCGAGTTTACTTCGCTGGAACGGAGACCGCGTCGTCATGGACAGGGTATATGGATGGTGCTATACAAGCTGGTGATCGAGCTGCTAAAGAGGTTATATCATGTTTGCATTTGTCTACATTGTGGTGCTTTTAATATAGTGATCCTTAATCAAAAGAGAGATTTTTATCCGAAAGTGTTTTGAAAGTGAATTTTGCATATTTTCAGGTTTTATTTGCTATGGGCGTTATCAATGAGAACGAACTAACTGATAAACACGAGAACGCAGAGAGCAAGGTAAGTAGAGAAATCTTTTATTTCACAGAAATCCACACACTGTATTTTATTGTGCAATACAGAAGCTTCATTTTTATTAGCTGATGGTTTTCTGTGTCAAATATCCGAAAATAAAAACCTACAAAAATATACCGGAAATGAATAAATTACCACCACAAACACAAAATGACCGGTGAACCCACAGTTAAAACTTACTGTAAAATGACTAATTTTCACTGGGTTTAAATTTCACTGATTTACCATTTCAGGCATATTCAGTGGGTTTTAAATTCACGGTTTTGTCATTTAGATAATGTGTTCTATGCTCAATTTTACATATTCACTGGGTCTTAATTTAGCGCATTTTCCACTCAGCGAAATAAGCTAAATTAAAACCCAGTGAATAATTAACCCCTTTACAGTATACAGTATAATATAAAATGAGAATCAACGTTTTTCTTTTTTTCAGTTGGACAAGGGATCTGAATTCTTAGAAGTGAGTTCTGGAATGGATCGATATTTACCATCCGTACCAGTGTTTTTGAAATCAATACTGGCAGTAAGTGTCATCGGAGTAGCGGTTTTTAAATACCGTGATACGTTACACAAAGGCTTTCATCTTACATCCCAGAGATTAATACAGTTGCTTGATGCAAGACGATAAAGTATTAATGCAATGTAGAAACTCTTTTGAAGCAATGACTGTGCTGTCACCAGTCTGTAGAACGTCAGCGTGGCGATATAGGCTCATGCTTCTTATACTTTTACAAAGGTACTATTAACTTGATATGTTAGCATCCATGCTTAAATTCTAATATTCTTCTGTAATTAGCGTGAATGTTTCTAGCAGGCGGGAGACAACGTTTACCACGGGTATATTATAACAGGATCTACATCGGTTGAATGATGATTTTCTGTCAATAATCTACTTATAAACTTACAAAAACGTTGAAGTATCACACAGAATCTGAATTATTGAATAACTGTCCTGATGATATATAATAATATAATTTCATAGGTTTAATGTGTTACACTCGTGCTGCAAATGGCAATTATGTGTTACGATATAGTGACACATAATTAAATATAAGAAGCCTTGCATTTGGTAAATTATATTAACAAGTTTAACATGCTTTTGAAGAATCATTGTGAAAATATTATTTACACAAATATTATTCAGATGATTAGTTTTAAAAGAGTTGTATTGTCGTTTCTGAATACACGCATGGTTTGCAAAATACAATTATGGTTTAACAGCAATTATTCAATGAAACATCCACGCGAAAACAAGGACAGTGCCCGATTCGTATGGTTCGCTAAAGCTGGCCATCCATGGTTATCAATGATGAGGCAACGGCAGAATAAATAAACCTTGGCTGGTGAAGATGAAACAAAAGCAGAAACAGTAAACAGTAAAAGGCATTTTATTACCTATCCCGTACCATCAAAGATGGAAGGGAAAGGTATATTAAGGGAAACATTTCTGTCTGTCGCTGTCGTTAATAATTGTTATTGTGTGCAAGTAACTTTACTAATTCTATTCCAAACGTTATCAAACTTGGTCACCTTATTAATCAGTATAAAATCTTCCCTGAGTATGAACGACAGATGTCCTGTATGGAAATGTCATGCAAAAAATGAGAAAATCTGATAAAATATTTTGACTGTTGTTGACTTCACTGATCACTGGTGATACACATTCAAAGGCCACTGATCTCAGTGGAAATATGCATTGTTGTATGTGTTCAATGAAGCAAATCGTTTGTTTTGTAATCCCTCAGCTCCTGAGAGCGAGGTTATTTGTAGTTATGTTGGCGATCGCCACTGTGTCTGCGGAAGTACTATGGGAGATTGCATGATGGGAGTGAAAAGTCTTTTGATCAGTAAAATAATTTTAGAAAAGTGAAAACTAAAGTGACTGTGAAATAAAGGTTGGTTTTAAATATTAAATATCATGAAATTTGGATGTAATAATGAAAGGAAATTGAACTGGTATGAAAGGGCAGTAAATATAGCCAGAATGCAAGGTCAGAATCCGGGGTCAAAATACGTCACAATACATCCATCAAGACGGTTGCAAAGTGTCATGATGACTATGGATGAAGTAACTTCGTTTGCAGTTTTTTTGAATGGCCGGGGAGAAAAATTCATGCAAATTCTGTGCTTCAGTAACAGTATTTGCTACTTTTTTGTGCAATGGAAATTAATACAAGAAATGCTGCCAAAAGACATGTCCTCCTAGTAAACAAAACAACCAGGGGACGTTTATCTTGATAAATTGAGAAAACGAAAATCCCTTGGGACAGTCGTTGTGAAACAATAGACATGCTTCGCCAGTGTATCAAGGTTATTTTGATTATTTAAAGATGGAAACTGCTGCTTTATGGAAGAGCAAAGTTCAATGTCATTGGCACAGTAATGACGTTTTTAGAGGGGTGACTCGCTAGAAGTATTCGCCGTTTATACAACACTTACTTGTTACTATCAAGAAGGTTTAATGTCTTGTTTGTATTTGCACAATGTGAATGAGGGGTTTATTCGATGTTCTCATGGAATTGTTAAATCTTGGTATCATTCTCAACTGTCACCAAACTGTACGTTTTGACGACTCGTATGCACTTCTGGGACTTGTAATAATTTTCCGGAAACTGTACAGCAAATCACATATTTTCCTTATTAATTGTTCATAGTTTTTCTAAATTTCAGTTTTTATTGTTCATAATTATTTACAGTAATAACATATTTTTCCGATTGTGTATATGACAGCTTTGCCCACACACAATAAGACAGGATGATATGTACGGATATGTGTGAGTATGTTTCATGGATTAATAGGCCACTCCTTTGCTTCAATTCCAACTACATCTCTGGAAATATCACTTGCTGTCTTTCATCAATATTTTGGTATCCCACAATGTGTCGATTGCGTATCTGGAAATTCTAACTACGATTTCGCAAAATTTGACCAGCCTTGCTTCTACCAGTCATTTAAGTCAACTCCCATATTGTCCTTCACAGTGAAGGTTAATTAAGATGTATTGTAAATTACACAGAGATAACATTACAATACATTTCCCTTCACATTCCCATGTATTACATAACAATCTTTAAGCTGAGGCAGTTATGGTTCTACAACCATCACTAGTTCTCTTGTAATATCCTTGGTAATGTATCTCCCAAATCCCATGGGAATACTAGACTGGGTTTCAAAAACAACTCATGGAGAGAGTTTTTGCGCAGTCTGATACACATTTGCAAACCTGCCAATAAAACATGATGTCAGATAATCAATATAAGCACTCCTATGAATTGGGTGTGGAACTTTTGATCAAGATCTGAAGCTAATGGAAAATCTGTTTATCAAATCAAAAACAATACATAAAAACACCGGTACATAAAAAGCAAAACTTTGCATCCACATTTTGAAAACAATATGTATTCTGTATTTGACAAACAGTTCATTCGATAAATGAAAATTCACAGGAATTTGTTTCAGCTATTAAACAGAATGATAGAGCTTTTATAATACTAATTTAAAAACGCACTTCGAAAACAAAGATTGGAGTGTTTGAAGATGTAGATTCTCAGGAGGCAACAGTACTGTTGACTTCTTTCTCAACTGGACACCAACTAACTATTGAAGTTGATTTGCATACAAAGCAGCGCTTACAACATGATAGCTATTCATAGAGGGCGTTGTTTTACGTTTCAAATAATACAGTAGTCACACAATGAATATAATAAGGCACTTCATATTTGTCTCAGTGAATCACCTGTACAAAATACTTTAACAAAAGCCAACTATGATTTTCTGTTATCTTGCATGTTTTATGAATCTATTCATGTCTAAATGCAGCACTTTTTTCTGAGATGAGGCATTTATTTTTATACTAAAATATCTGAATTACTTTGAATAAATCTGGAAATTATGTATCTCCGCTCGTACTCTGTATAACAGTTCTAGGATTCAAGAAGAAATGTTTCAATTCATTACAATACAGTACGTCAATTGCGTGTTTTGTGTTTCTTTGTGCCTGTAACTTGTATTACTGTTCGGACCATGGAATACTATTTATATATGTCCAGGAAAATATCCTGGATTTGAATTGGGCATCTCCATTTAGTAGAGTACATCATCTACGTTAGGATAAATCTCCAGACCGCTGGCTTTTCATTTATCTTGGTTATTAATCTTATTACTACCATTTATTTAAACGTTTACAGTGCGGATTGATATTTCTGTACCTGGTTAGAAAACATCAATATGCGTGAAATTCGGTCCGAGTCGCAACTCTTTCGAACTAAAACCGCCACTAGAATCGCGACCAGAGCGGGTAATTCTTGAATGAGTTTAGATTTGTGCCCTAAACATCCTCGTGTTTGGCAGCTAGTTGTGCTAATGTGGACGTTTTATACAGACAAAACAGACAATTTACTACCCTCATGGTTAAGGTATACGGGCACGCGCCGCTGTTGTTCGGAAATTTGTAGAAAAATTATGTTGGCCCAGTTTTGGACTGGCTGTAGAGCACTTCAACCCAAAGTGAGTACCACCCCAAGCAGAGCAACGAATGTTATTTCTCTGGCACCGCAATGTACTGACTGGTAACTGGCTCAAACCAATTCGGAGTACTCTGTGTGCGCGATATTTGTGTCTAAATATGATCGACCTGGGCGGGGCGGGGCGGGGCGTGATATGGAAAATCATAGCATGGCTCGAATCCCATTTTGTAAATAGGCGTCGAAGGTAATTCACAGGGAAACAGTTCATTGTACGGGAAGGGTGAGTAATAGACAAACTATTTTGTGTCATAATTATGACGCACTACTAAGGCTTACGAAAAAATAGTGTTTTCCTTGATTTGCGCCCTCGACGTGCC